AAAAAAAAAAATGGCGAGTGGCCACCCCTACAGACCGGACAGGACCGGTTCGGGTGTGGGCTATGGAAGCACCGCATCCAATTTTCTCAGTCACAGTTGCTGCATCGAATGGCACGGCGCAGACAGATGTCACAGGCTACGCGCCTCGTACATGCTAGGAACACAGAGGCACGTCGACCGCAATTATAGAGGCATTGCCGTTCCAGCCCGTCTACAAAGTGGACATGACATGTCGGGGTTCCGTACACGAGTACAGTACTGACTGTCATCGTACGTATGGAAGCAAAAACTCGCATGGACTATACCTTCATAATCCTCACGGCACAATGCATGTGAACCACATGCTAGTTGAATCCCCGGCGGGTCATCACAAAACGGCATTGAGAATCTTTCTTGGGCTTCCTCAGTATGTATTCCTTCTCTATGGGCAGGCAACGACAGGGAGGATCGGTCCAACGCAATGGCATTCAGCTGCTGCAGGATATGATCCGCCACAGCTCGCCCTGGTGGTGATAAACGATGAGCACATCGCTCTGCCGGTGGTTCATATAGAAGTTTATTTTTCCTCCTCGGACTGCTGTGTTCGTCGTTCGTCTGGCATGAAAGAGGGAGATCCGTCAGTGGTTGCCGAAGGTGTATGACCAATACCGCATGTGGGACATGCTAGGAGAGGATGTGGAGGGTGATGGCACCGGGGATAGTCCACGCAGTAAAGACGACAAATACTTTCTATGACAGCTTCCTGGAAGCATTGATGACACCTGGCATGTTGCTGACATGTCATTAGTATGGAAGGCTGACGTGGACAGTTACTTAAGCATGGCAGATCAAGGCCACAACGGCATGCAGGGCAAGTAATCAGGGGGTGGGGGGGATGAGCACAGGACTGGGGATCACAATTTTCGTGCGAGAGGCTAGCAGTGACCATCCCTTCATAGCGTTCGGAGCAGAGGCTATGTCGTGTACATGCCAACCGAACTGTACCTGTGCGACGACACAACGGGAGGGCACAGCCATCATCCTGTGGAGAGGTCCTTTCACCGTTTGTGGTAGAATCAGCAGGATTGCTCTCTGGGGGGTGCAGTGCTTGCAAATGCTCATCGACATACTGTTCTTGATGGATGAGCCAGATTGAGTGACCCTCCAGCATTTGGTGATAGAAAGAGTTAATATTTCCCACTGCGTGCACCATACCGCCATTGTCCCACAGGATCCATGAATTATCTGCAAAGGTAAAAGCACTGAAGTTACCTGGACGATATAAGATATATGCCCGAATATTTGGATCCGTGCCCGGCTCGTGGTTTTGCGGAGCAGGCTGGAATTGCAGTCGCCTACCCATAAATGCCATAGCCAGGACTTCTATGTTCACCCCAGGCGCAGCGCTGTCGTCGTCTGGGCAGACGGCACGGTGCTCTTCTTCTATCCAGCGAACAACGTCTGCGAAATCAGCAGCAGTATAAGGATTACAATTGTAAGCAAGGAGACATACATCAATAGCATAGTACACACAGCGCCCTTGCTGTAGCGCTATGGCATTGTCTGATTCCACAGGTTGCGTGGGAGATCCATTTACAGGAGGGGGATCCTCGTTCGATTCTGCAGGTTGCCCAGGCGGCGGAGACTCGTTGTGGTCTTGACCAATTGGCTCCGGTATGTGCTCCAGAGGGAGATGATCTTCAACCGGGGCCTCCGTCGGGTAATCAGGAGACGGGCCATTGTCATTTGGGGCAGGGGAGCGAGTGGGGCTAGGTGGCTGAGAGAGGGGCAGGTCAGGTGGGTGAGAACTGGGTGGACAGGATGTGGGAATCGGAAGCCGATCAGCCTCACTCGTGCTTGCGGCAGCTGCTAGTCGTGCAAATGCTGCACAAGTAGCTGCACCTCGTAGGCCTGCAGCACTGAAGAAATCATTGCCACATTGCGGACATCGGACTCGATGTGCACTATTCCTCGCAAGTGTATACTGAAAGCGACGATGTCGTTCCGTACGGTTGCGAGCATGTCGTCGGAGCAGATCTCTAACCCCTGCAGGGGGCGCGGTGATCATGCCATTCAACGACAAATGAGGCCGCTGTCTTGGAGGCTGTTGTGGAGACGGGGAACGTCTCCGCCGAAGAGGCGTCCGTAACGATCGATCTAACAATGGATACCTCGGCCGACAGGGCCTTTGTGACGACCGATATGACCATGAGTGCGTTGATGATGAGGAGGTCGATGATGAGGAAGTAGAGGAAGACGTAGGGGAAAAGAAGAAGATGATGATGTAGATGACTGAGAGGATGCTGCAATAGAGGACGTCGGTGGGGTTGGCGGTGATGATGGTGGTGGTGCTGCTGATAATGATGGCAGTGATGGTGGTGTTGGTGGCTGGGGTGGTGGTGGTGGTGGTGGTGGTGGAGGAGGCGGTGCCAGCAGTGGCAGAGGAGGAGGTGGTGTACCTTCAGCAGCAGCAGCAACAACAACAGCCGTTGTATTGGTAGGATACTAGCCTTCATCCCTTATCTCCATTTCAGTAATGTTCACATTGTTTACTGCGGCTGGCATGATCTCTGGCTGAGTTGGCGTATCGACATTAGCGTCTGCCATTTCAGCACGGATAACAAGGGGGGGCGGGCGGTCTGCATTTGATTGTACGGAGGGCTGATGCTGGCTGAGGTCAACATTGGTGTCAGGCGATGAGTGGTGGTCTCTTGTGTGCGGTTGGGTGGAGGACCTGCGCACTGAATCAGCTTCCGGGAGTGGGTGAGTGATTGCCCAGCGAACCATTCGGCGAAACCAGTTCACAAGTCGTGTGACATGAGTTGGTAGCCGGCGTTGTCGGCCACGCACATATTCAGTCCAGCCTAGCCAGGACACTGGGAGGATGGCCCCTGACAAGCATACGTCGTGTCAGGGAAGTCACTGCCGCTTTGAAGTCGGTAGTATTGTTACATATATGTTCGAATCTCGTTAGTTGTTTCGTGAGCACACCTGCAGGCTGATGAGCCGGAACGTTGGAGGAAGCACTACGATAACGTATGACAGGGAACTTCCAGTTCTCGGCCTTATAAAGTACGCCAATGCGAAGCGAGCCATCAGGCCGAACCAAGATTCTTGCCCCAAGGAAAAGACATGACCCATCTTGCTCAGTAGTGTCTTTCCACTCAAGACCATAYCGAGCAGRAGACRGCRGTARTGTCTTCCAGGATAGAATGTCATCAATGAATCGATATGTGAATGCATATGCTTGTGCAGCACGCAGATCTCGCTGACGAAGATCATCGATGAACTGTGCTCCAGCGTTAGTGCCCATAGGGATACCGACCATCCGATGGCGCAAAGTGCCATCCCTTGTATAAAGGTAAGTATTAGAGACCACGAACTCAATATTTTTTTATTTTTTTTTCGAAAATTGTTTTCGACACACACGCACATGCACACACTCTCTCTCTCTCTCTCACACACACACACACACACACACACACACTATCTTGTTGTCCTGCATTGCCCGTCTCCCACACTGCCACTTACCCCCTCTTCTACTGTATCACTCTCTCACTCAGTCTCCCGCTCTCTTCACAGTACCTAGAGAGTGTTTTCCACACTGTGTGTGCTCATCGTTGAGATCACATGAGCTTGAAGTGAAAATATCAACATCAAGAAGCCTGCGCAAGAACTGTTCATGGCATTTTACGCAATCTGCACCTTGCACATGACGTTAATCCTGAAGAAAGGAACATTACAGTGATTACATCATTACACACACATTCATGCGAATATCATTGGGAGGAGTTAAGCAACGGAGAAGTACATTATGCCAGCTTGATGTTTCAAGGATACTAGAGCTGAACAGTGAACATTTACCTTCCTTCAATTCACTGATTGCAGCAAGGCAACAGTCGCACACTTTTACGAGAATTTACAGCAATGAATGAACAAGGTTTTTTTTTTCTTTTTCTTTTTTTTTGTATAGCAACAAATGAACTACATTAAAAAAAAAATACATTTTAATATGATTTTATTACATACGCGTAAGAGTCGTAACTTGACAGGAATTCGTAAACTTTCAATACATGAATTAGCAGCACTTTAAATTTACAACTTGTAGTAAGAAATTCCCACTAATTAAAGTCTTAAGTTTTAACTTTTAAACAGCTTCTCCCAATAGTCCTATTCTAATTATTTAGTATTTAGTATTTAGTATTTACAAAAATCACTGCACAATTGTCAGTGCACGTGCGCAGTGGTCTGCCATGCTAGAGCCAAAAATAGCCATTAGCCACGAGCGGCAGTCGCATCCGCACAGCTGGCTATTCTGGCCCTGTGTGCCATGAGACGTTATGAGTGGCTTGGATCCTCACGGTGGATCGGGACGCACAATACATCCCCAACGGACCCCCAACGATTACTTACAGTGGATCGGGACGCACAATACATCCCCATCGGACCCCCAACGATTACAAGTTAAAACACGCTTCAAGACTTTTATGTCAGATACAATGTATGTAGGCAGAAGGAGAAGAACGTCAGATAGAAAAGCTCAACCCCCAAATCTGAGTGGGGGGGTACTGAAGCTCGATGCAAGTGGATCAGAGACTGAAGTCTCACGGAACTTTCACCATATCCTGATTCCTGACATGTCAGACAAGAATGAACCCGACATGAGGTTTTAAATACAGTAAGACAAAAGACAGGGGAAAAAAAAAAAGAAAAAAAAACAGAAAAAAAAAGAAAAGAAAAAAAGAAAAGAGAAAAAAATGAAGTTGACATGAAGGAGAAGGAACCCCCGGTCGGCAACTTGACAATGATTTCCGCACCCCCCCCCCCAAAAAAAAGGGATATAAGAAAGTCAAGAGCCACATCAAATCAGGAAAAAGTATTCAGTACTATTTACACAAAGAATCAGAGATGGAGAAAAGAAAATATAGACAGCAAAAAAAGGTAATCCGGATGGGCACGCGCGGGACAAAGGTGATGGCGCACGGAGCTCACAAGGGAAACAACGTACGTAATCCAGATGAGCACAACTCACAATTATTTACAAGGAAAAGATGAAAGGCTCCATTAGATGATGCCGTAACCCGAGTAAAAGGCTCCATTAGATGCTGCCGTAACCGAGTAAAATACATGTACAGCTGCTCACCAAATTGATGAAAACAGAGGACTTGCCTTATTTTGAGGAGATATACGAAGCCCTTTGGTTATGAAGAACCTTCCCTTGGCYCAYGATGAAAGAGAGGAGGAGAAGGGATTCTATTTGCAGGGTTGCTTTGTACATTCGGTCATCCGCTGATAGAACAGCAGGCTTGCCTCGGCACGAAGAACCTYGGCCTCGGAAACTCTCATGACTCGGGAATCCGACACACAAAACCATACCCTTTCGGTGTCCGCTGGCAATCTTACTTTGGTTGATGGCACTTGCTCGCGCTGCTGCCTGTTCGGCTCGCTGCATCCTCCTCCGCCCGACCGTTGGCTGACGTCCTTCTCTCCCTGCGTCCTTGAGGTAAGGTCCTCCTCCGCTTCTTTGCCTGCAGCTGTTTGCCTGGCGCGGTATCCAACTGCAGCGCCGTTGGAGCTTGAACTGCACACAGTCTGCTTGTCGACAGCGGGAGCGGAGGTGGTCTCCTCCTGCGCCAGGGATGAATCGGGCCCAAGAGCTGCATTCGCACATCCAGAAAATGTAGCAGCATTTTGACTCTCAGTCCAATTTTGACAAGTTTGACTGGCCGCCAAACTTGGCCGCACGGATGCCGTTTGTCCTTTCGTCTCTGGTGAACACGGTCTAGTGCACACCCGCCGCCTAGTCGCCCTCGGAAGCGTCAGCTTCCGATAAACGATGTAGTGGCCGCCTCCGCTGCCGCCGATGTGGACGACGACTGACACAAGCTCGTACCAAATAGCCTTACCTTCACCACCCCTCCTCGCAGCGCCAGTCAACGTTGGAAGCCTGCCTAACGCCGCAAACTTCTCACTGCTGCGCACTCCATACAGTCCGTAAGGAATCGGCACCCCTGGCAAGAATGCCGAGGGTATGGTCCGTTGACGATGAGTTGGCGGCAGTATAGAAGGTGAACCGGATGTAGCAAATGAGGAGCAACTCGCCTCCTTCGCCTCCTCATTGTTCAAAATTCCCGGCGCTGTTGCAGAGAAACCCTCGTCGCTCCTACGCTTATGGGCATTCGCCTGCTGTTGAGATAGGGCAGATAAGCCTCTAGAGTTCTCGGGACCGGGGGGACCATCAACTCGCAACGCTTCATCGGCAGCAGGACTGCATAACAACTGGATGGACAGCAGCTCGTCGAGCGGTACAGCAGTCCGCTCGTCACAACCATCATTGCTTCCATCATCATCATCATCATCATCAAGTGCAGTGCAAACCTGAGATGCAAAGGAGTTTTGTCTGGTGCTGATCTTCCTCTCCCCATCTTCGGCTGTCGAATTCATCCGATCAGCTGACAACTTACAAGGGTCAGTAGAAGAGGACAGGGGATCCGTGCGGCCGTGACAAGACCCAAAGTTCTCGTCGACAGAGCTTTTTTGTGTGATTTGATACGCATCAGGCCAGAAACCAGGCGTCAGTGGAACTTGGCAATCCAGTTGCCCATGTGGTCCCACAGACGCCTGTCTTCTCACTGACACATTATCAAGGAAAAGATCTGTGTCTGCGCTGACCTGCTGCTGCTGCTGCTGCTGTTGCAGCTGATGCCCATCTTGCTGCACAGACGGCTTTTCATGGCATAGACACGGGTTCAAATCCCTGCTTCTCACAGACACTTCATCGACACCAAGATTCAAGTCTGTGCTGGCCTTCTTCTGCTGCTTCTGCCTTGTCACCTTCTCCTCCTCCGCAGCAACGCCTTCTCCGATCTGAACATTATCGGAACCTTCTCGAAGCAAATCCACGTGCTTCATAGGGGAGCAGTTGTGATTTGGCAGATCCGAAGCTCCGCTGTTGGTATCACTGTCTAGCAAACAACAACCATTCCCCTCCCCACACATCACAGCCTCTCTCTCTCTCACATCTACATCTCTGCTAATGCCAGGCTCTTGGCAATATTGCAACCCTACTTCAGAAGACGATGCTTGCCCACTTTGACATTCACCGAACCCCCTAGACAAGCAGTCGCAACGCAGGCTTGAACGAACAGCGGGAACCTTGCTGTCCTTTTGGAAAAAAGCAGTACTACTTTGGCACCGGTCCAAGGAAGCAGATGCTATACCGCCAAAACACCCAACTGCGCTACCATCATTCCCAGCGCTGCGATGATTCCCAACTGTTTCCACTCGATGGCCAAATCCTGTTGGCGAATCACAAGTGTGCAGCCCATCTCCATCGAATTCGTGCATCAGGCCTACGTGTATAGCATCGCCGTTAAGCACAGCTGCTGCCGGGAGTCCTTCACAGTCAAGGACAGCTTCTGACGCAAAGCAGTTGTCGTTGTCTCGGAAATCTTTGCCTCCGTCTCGTTTACTTGCCTTGTTTGCATCAGCCACAAGTGTATGTGCTGAAGTACCACAAACCGGGGCTCCAGCTTGTGGGCTGCTGAGTTGGTGTGGTGCACATGATACTCTATCATCTCCCACAAGAACGATGAGGTTCGCCGACTTGGGGCATTCTTTTCCAACAAAATGGTTTGATGATGCAATAATATCCTCGACTTCATTATACGGGTCAACGCCCCGAGACTCCATTGACGTCTCCTCAGAGAGAGGAGGAAGCCTCTTGTTTTCCAGAGACCCATTGTTGAGTGACACCCCCCCAGAACTCACCTCCACATTGTAAGGGCTCGCTTCCCGGGTCCGGGTAATGCCAGAGACGGTGGTCGACTGCTGTGAGGAGAAAGGCATGCCACTGTCATCATCAGATGGACTAACAACATTGTTAGCAGTTGTTTCCGTCGTCATCTCCTCAAGATTGGAACCAACCACAGCGTTGAGTACATTTTCTTTCAGCTCCAGCCACCCCTTGCGACCCTCGTGTGAAGAATCTGCATCTGTGATAACCAACCTATCATCAGGTGCTCCTCCAGTATTATGGCTGGTCTTCCCTGAGCCTTCACTCGGCTGGCCGGCCGTCGATCGGAATTCTGCTCTCAAGCCATTAATAGCAATGGCCTCAGCTGTATACGGTTCACAATACGCATTCTCAGTGTCACCACCTTGAAGTTTCAAAGAATATTCCTGGCCCAGTCGCCTGCTGTTTTCAGGATTGAACTCATTGAGGATGCTGTGCTCAGTCGTCGGTGGATCGGCAGTAGCCTCGATCTCGGCGTCGAGCAGCTCTGTCGCAGAATCTGGGGCCGTACACTCCGTACACCTTCCATTTCCTGGGAGCACCGGACCTGGTGTTGGTGCACTTGCAACACTCGTTTGCGCAAGAACCGAGTGCGGAAGGGGGAGATCCAGAAGAAGCCCATTAATAGAACTGGAACGGCAAGCGGTGTTTTCCTCACCGAGAGTATTTAGAGGACTCGCATCCGCCATATCGGCCAGATACCTTCCCGGGCTCCGCTTCAAGTGCTCAGAAGTGGTCATCTGGTCAACGGCAATCGGAACTGACAGTGAGTTTCCCTGTTGAATCTCTGCAGCACCACTTGGTTGCCCAGCAGTCTTTGCAACATCATCTGACGATTGCGAGATCCCTGATGCTCCAGAATCAGATCTCCGGTCCACGTGCTCAGTGGCCATCTTGTCAGCGGCATCCCAAACTGACACTGTGTTTCCCTGTTGAATCTCTGCAGTATCACCGGGTCGCATAGCAGCCTTTGCACCGTCATCCAAAGAATGCAGGATTCCTGACGCTCCGGAATCGGTTCTCCCGAGCTCTGAAATCGCTGAACTTTCCAAATCAAGAAGAAGCTGTCTACTCAGTTCTTCAAGGGCACTCAGCTCAACACCATTTGCTACCATGTGATTACCTGTCTGCGTACAGTTTGCTGCTTCCACATCATTCCCTGTCATGGTCCTCCTAGCCTCACAAATCTTGCTTGCATCCTGATGACCACCACCCAATCCCAATTCACAAGGTACCTCGTCATCATCATCATCATCAGCAGCAGCAGCAGCATCCCAAACTCGCATTGCAGTGTTGGCATCTGGAGATTGCGACATTTGTGACGCTCCGGAATCAGATCTGTTGAGCTCTGAAGTTTTTGAGCTTTCGGACTCGAGCGTTGCGTGTTCACTCTGCTCTTCAGGAGAATTCACCTTGACGCCACCTGCCACAGTACAATTACTTGTCTCCACCTCATCATCTGCTTCCACACCGCCGTTTCCTGTTGCTGTCCTCCTAGCTTCACAATCTTTGCTTTCATCGTGATCGCCATTACTGGTTGCCATCCTCCAAGTAGCTTCACAAGCCTTGCTTGCCTCGCGATCGACGACAGACAACTCGTAACGCGTTGACATGCAGCCAAGTCCACGGTTATCAGCGCAAGTACCTCCATAGCTAGCTTCTTCCTGTACCGGAATTCGATACATTCCTGGCGGCGACTTCCCTCCACGGGTAGCTACACAGTTGTCACTGCCACCACGCTCGTGCGGCGGATCGTTTTTTTCATACGTTCCTGAGGACTTCCCTCCAGGCTCGGCTCGTTGCACCGGCTCCCTGGCCACCGGTACCTCCATGTCGCAAGGAGGAGCCACTGCGGTCAGTTCCGCATCTTCATTTGCAGAAAAATCAGGACTGCTTCCCACGGCTGGACTTGCCGAGCCCGCGCTGAAGAGGTCCCGACATCGCAGAACGTTTTGCACACTCCTAGGGGCAGCTACATGCTCCGGTGCCTTTACAAATTCAGCACAGGAGAACACTAATGTGTAGGGCAGAAGGTCCAACACCAAGGGGAACGCCACATGTCCCTACGCCATCCGAAAATGGACAAAAAGAGCAAGCCACAAAAGAATGATGGTTGTAGTTTCCTTTTGCATACATCTGAAACTCACAACACACTTTTTTTTTTTAACAGGTCCTTAAAAATGAACCTGGCTCCAATTCCATTCTGGGGACCATCAGTCCGGTGACTCCGGTTCCCCTATTCCACCGGCAAGTCAGAATAAAAACTAAGACACCCTTTTCTTTCTTTCTTTTTTTTCTTTTTTCTTTCTTTTTTTTGAACGGCGACAGCCTTGAGATATCATCATTTAAACCACCAGTACCTGGCCCAGCTATCGGCCGCAGCGCTTCCCATATACGCGCCGCGCCATTTGGGCTTCGGCCTGCCGGACCGCATTGGCTGGAGGCCGCAGGCAAAACGAAAACGAAAATTGCAACGGCGGTTCAGCTACTTGGCGCGCAGCGTGCTGGGAGGCTCGGATTCAATAGCTGAGCGAGGTACTGGTGGTTTAACTGGCAGGCCCTAGGTAATTCACAGTTAGATCTGTAATTTACTAATTTTGTAATGCTCATTAAACTTCATTTGATTGCATCTGGACTCGAACTTGGGTCTGTTTTTTTCCAACAGTGCAATGGTGTACCAAGTGCGCTGGGCCCATCCGAACACTGCGCGTTTTTTTTCAGAATTAAATTTGTACTATTTTGTAGTGTCTCATCCATTGGTACCAACTGAGCCGGGCCCATCGGTACTCTGCACTTTTTCCAATAACACTAGCAACAGTTCATTGGGACCAAGTGAGCTATAGGCCCATCGGTACACTGCACTTTTTCCATAACAATAGCCACTCCATATCTTCTAACTCCATTCACCGAATGCGCGGCTGGTCGGCACCTACCGGTCGGGGGTTGTCGGCACCCCGCAAACAAAAGAAAAAAAAACATAGAGATCATTTCTTTTTTCTGGTAGTCCATAACCCCCAATAACCCCACCAACACCCCTAATAAACCGCCCCCTAACACCCTTATACCCCCCCAAATCCCCCCTATAACACAACTACCCCAAATATACACCCCCAAATTCTCCCTATAACACCCCTATACCCCCCCAAA